TTTTTTTTTTTTTTTTTTTTTTTTTTTTTAAAAAAAAAAAAAAAAAAAAAAAAAAAAAAGAGATTTTTAAAATGAAAATATAATATTTATGTAGGTTTATTATTACTTGATAGAAAATATTTTTTTTTTTTTTTTGGTTTTATTTTACTTGTGTATAATAAAAAAATACTATTAGATTGAATAATTTATCTTTCATAAAAAAAAATAGTTATTTTAGAAAAATATAGCTAACAAGTTTTTCATATATGTATTTAAATATATATAAAATATTTATATTTTTGAGTTAATATTTTTTTAAATATTCTTTTTTTTTTTTTTTTCTTATTCTTATTCTTATTCTTATCCTTTTTTCCTTTTCTTTTTCCCTTTTTTTTCCTTTTTTTTTTTTAACTTTTTTTTTTGGATAACTGTAAAAATAATGTATTATTTATATCATTTTTTTTTTTTTTTTTTTTACGTATTTGTTTGTTTAATTGTATCTTTATTTATTTCTTTTTTTAATTAACCTATATATATATGTGGAAAAAAAAAAGTCAAAAAAATATGTATTTTAATGATATTTTTATGAAAAAATAAAATATATATATATATAAGTTTAAAATTGTGAATAATGATATACACATATATATATATATATATATGTATTTATATAAGTTTTATAACGTCCGTATATTAATTAGTTTACTTAATAAATATTAATTAAATTTCTAAATATGGTAATTTAGACAAAATGTTTTTATTAATATTTAATTTTATTCATTATTGTTTTAAGAATATCATTTATTAACATTATCCATATGTAACAGAATTTTACTTTTTAAAAATTATTCAAATATTTATTTATTAGAACTATTTTTTTTTTTTCTTTTTTTCGTAAAAATATTTTAGAAATAACTTATTTTTATCAATTTATTTATTTTTTTTTTTTTTTTTTAGTAAAAAATTTTTTTTTTAATAATTATTTTATTAAATTATATAAAATTGAAGTTTGAATAATAAATTAAAGATATATTGAAAATATGAATTAATAAATTGAAAATATTAAATTTTTATTTTCATTATAAAATCACTTATAAAATATTTATAGAATCTAGTATGAGCATTTTTAAATAAGGAAACACTCAAATATAAAATAAAAAAAAAAAAGAAAAAAAAAAAAATGAATGATGAAAATGAAGTATTAGAAAAATTTAAAGGAAGACCTTTATTTGAAAATCTACATAAAATGAATCAAACAAGTTTATTATCACATAAATCATTAGAAATTGATATGAAAGGATTTTTTAACTTGTTAGTTATATTAATTTTTACAACAAATTTTAGACTTGTATTAGAAAATTTTAAAAAATATGGATTAATAATAAAAATACCAACAAGTTGTGATATTATTAAAAATCTCCCAATATTATTATGTTTTATTTGCTTAAATATAGGTATTTTTTTCAGTTGGTTTATAGAAAGATATGTCACTTCATGGTTATATCAATGTGTGAATAATAAATCAAATGAAGATTTTTCTGATGACATATATCCAAATGATAATGATGAAAAAGATGATTATGAATTTTTAAGTAATATTTACGATGAGCATACTGATAATAATGAAAATTTTAAGAATCTTTGTGAAAGCGAAAATGAGAATAGAAAAAAAAAAAATAAAGATGAAGAATTGATTAATACCAAAAATGAAAATAGTGAATTAAAAAAAAGACAATTTTTAAAAAAAAAAAATTCCTTAAAAAAAAAAAAAGTAAAAAAAAAAAAAATCCATGGATGGAAAGGTTTTCATTTGTCTATATTTTTATTAATATGTATAAATAGCATATTTGTTTTATTGTTACCATTTTTAACCATATCATATTATGATACAGAGCCAATACTATCAACAGTATTATTATCTATATCCATTGTTTGGTTTTTTAAGTTTTATTCCTTCCACCAAGTATGTTATGATATTAGAAAACTTTATATAGAAAATGTTAATTTGGATAATGTAGAAAATCTACATTATGAATTAAAATTTGTAAAAAATTATCCTTATTGTTTAAATTTCAAAAATTATTATACTTATATATTAATGCCAACTATGTGTTTTCAATTTTGCTATCCAAGAACAAAAAAAATTCGATGGTTACATGTCGCTAAGCATATTCTAGAAGTATTTTTATTAATTATAATGATAAAAATAATATCAGATCAATATATGTTTATAACAGTTAAAAATACATTCACAATGAAAGAATTTAGTTCTGCACAATTTTCAGTTAAACTTACTCACATAATTGAAAGGATGCTAAAAGTGTCTATACCAACCTTATATATATGGTTAATTGGTTTTTTAATAGTTTTTCATCATTGGTGTAATATTTTAGCTGAAATTACGAGATTTGGAGATAGATTATTTTATAAGGACTGGTGGAATGCTAGCTCATTTGCTGAGTATTGGAGGAAGTGGAATTTGCCTATACATTATTTTGTAAGTAGACACATAAATAAACCTTTAATAAATTATGGGATAAATAGAAAATGTTCAATGGTTGTTGTTTTTCTTTTATCTGCTTTATTACATGAATATTTAATAAGTATTCCTTTAAAGCTAGGTTTTTCAGGATATATATTTTTTGCTTTTATTTGTCAGATTCCGCTTATACATTTAACAAATAATGAATTTTTTAAAAAACATAAAACAATTGGAAATTCAATATTTTGGATGGTATTTTGTTTTACGGGGCAACCCTTGATTTTATTTATTTATTATTATATGTGGATAGAAAAACAAGGAATTCTTAAAAATCATTAAAAAAAAAAATTAAAAAAAAAATAATTGTTTCATTTAATAATTAAGATAAAAAATTCTTAATATTATGATAATAATTTTTCTTAATTTACATTAAAATTATAATTTTTTTTTTTTTTTTTTTTTTTTTTTTTTTTTTTTTCCTTTTTTTTTTTTTTTTT